TTATAATTATTGAGTAACTTGCGATATTTTTTGTCGTTGTCCACCAGTATAAATAATTTGCCTTTGTTCATCTGGATGAATAAGTTCATCTGTATGTTTCCAACGCCACTTTTTTTCGCTTTCTTTAATTCGTCTATGGTCAATATAACTAATAACACAACTAGTAGGAATCCATACAATGGCAGTAATAATTATAACAGCACCTACTATATTATCTTTTAAAAAACGCATAACTTTATTAATATTTATATCTTCAATAATATCCCAAAATCGTTCTACTACATCTTGAATTGTTTTTTCACAAACACCCTAAAAATATTTATTTAGATTTTATACTATATAAATATAAATTTAACACATTACAAATATACATAAAGAATAAAGCATATACAAAATAAATTCATTCAATAACATTACCTTGTTACAAAAACCTTGAATACATGGTGTTCCATCAGGTAAAATATCTTGTGGATCTATAGGGAAACATGTTTCATTCAAACTCATTCGACAGCATCTTTTACATGCATCTCCAACTGCAAATAAAAATTTGATATAAATATATATTATTATCTATTTATTATAAAATATAACATATAAAAACCATACTTGTATCACACATGCAACTTTGTAAGCCTTGTGTCTCACAATATGGTACACATTTTCCAAGCCTGCATTGACCTCTTTCAAGGCAACCTGTACCATCTTTCATTGGTGGAGATCTGGGACATTCACTAGATGCACCTGTACATCGTGATTCTTGCTCGCAAGTAGCATACTGTGCATCGCGACATTTTACACCTAATGGCATAAATGCACAACCTTGACAACAAGGTGAATTTTTATCGCTGAAAGATATATATTAAATATAGAAATTTAGAAATAAAATATTAATTTATGTAATGTAAACTACATATTACAATAATATATTATATAATATAATTATAACAATGATCAATTACCTACAAACTGCTCCTTGATTTCTACGAAGTTTACAATTTTTATCGCAACAAGCATCATTATCTTCTGTACCAAGTAATCCTGCATCACATTCTTCATCTCCTTCAACCCGTAAATTACCACAAAATGATTCTTCAGGTTCAGAGAAACAACGACCTGACTTTGCTTGTAATACTTTTCTAATGGATCTTAAACTACATGGTGAAAAACGCTAATCCATAAATAATTAACAATAAATATTTTCTTAGTATTATTATTCTTTTTTTATGTAAATTGAATATACCTTATTATTTACATCATATCCACTAACGCTATATGTATACATTAAATATGAACCTCCTTGACTAGCACTTGGACTACATTCCTATTAAAAATATTATTTTTTAATATATGAAAATTAGATTCTGTTCTTATTGAATTAATTTTTCTAAAAATATTAAATATATCGCAAATAAAAAGTTACTGTTATATCTGGATCATGTTCAGAACCCCAATTATGTCCAAATTCATGAGCAGTAACTAAATCTGCTTCTCTTGTGATAACTCTTTGTCCATAATGATTTCTACTAGAACTTAAACCTGAATTAAGATATAATGTGTAACCATTTTTAAAATATTCTGAAACATTAATATTGAAATAAAATTAATAGATTATTTATAAATGATTAAAGATAAATTTTATCAATGTACCTGGTGTACAAATTCCTCCTACTGAATTTCTACGAGGAGATCCAACATATGCTAATCCTAGAATACCACCTTCAAATTTGAGATCAGTAAATAAATGAGCTAAACAAAAATCTTTGTGGCTATATTCTCGACTGAAAACCTAAGTACAATTTATATGATTCATTTAATTAAAGACTGCAGTATTTTAAATAAAGATACCAAAAAAATAAATTTACCTCAAGTAACGTACGAACGTCCCATTTTTCTCTAACCATATTATAATGAGTTTCACCACCTCTTCCGCGAGTTGGTTCGCTATGAACTACAATTTTTTTAATAACAAAACCCATTCCTTTAAATCCATCTTGTTCTTGGCGTTCTTGCCATAAGGTATCATTATAAATTTTATGTACTCTATCAATTAAACTTATCTAAAAAACAGAAATTAAATTATTAGTTGAAATAAATTATGATTTTTATATCAAGTAATGCAATTATGTACTAAATAATTAATTGTAGTTTTTGTACTGCTAGCACCCATCTCTTGGTAAAAACGATAATCAGCTACTAATAATAAAGGACATCTTGTTTTTGTTGGAGTATATTCATAAGTTTCTGTTTGTCTTTTAATTCTGAAATGTTCATTTGATTTGAAAGTAGTTTCTTTTATATCTTCTTCTTCTTCATTATTTACTGAAATATCTGTAATATAAATCTTACATAAAATATATTACTGATTATATATCTGAATTATAATCTCTAATAGAATTTTTTATTTAATAAATTAACCTAATTCTTCTTTTACATATCCACAAGTTTTGGGAGTACTATGTGTATGCCCTTCTCCATGTTGAAAATGTTCCCAACTAAATTTGATATTTGATGATTTATAAATGATCATTGTTTCATTTCCTAAATGAGGTAAATGTCTCCACGATGGCTATTATAAATAACAAATAAAGAATTATAATTTGTATTCTATATTGAAATTTACACAACTATTTATATCTACCTCAATATGAAATGTTTCATCAGAGATTGAAATAATGCCTGTTACAATACCATTGTCAATATGCATTTGTGCATGAGAATCAATTTCACCAAATACTCGTCCATGATGAAAACTTTCATGATCTAAAATAAATTTGATGATTTAAAATAATTTTCAATTTAATAATTTTTAATTATGATTTAAAAATAACATAAAATAATATAACATATATATTAAGTTATAATAAGATTAAGATTATATTAAAATTATTTATTATTTTATATTAAGATTATTTATTAAGTTATAATAAATTTAAATTTTTTAAGATTGTTTTCATTAGATGAAATAAAAATAAAAGAAAATGATATGATAAAAATAAAATTATCTTATTCTATTTTTGTCTTATTTCATTTAATATAAACTTTTTAATGTAAAATTGTTAATACATAAGCCTCAATCAGTACTTTTGTACCAATTTTTTTGTTTTAATTTTTAGAATCAATTTTTTAAAAATTATTCTTATAAATATTTTAATATTCTGTGCATATAAATATGTATAAATATATTATTCATAACAATTATTTTTATATATTAATATTATTTTACCTAAATGTATAATTTTTTCTTCTCCATCACCATTAACTTCATATGCTTTAAATTTGGAATGAATAACTTCTTTTCTTGGTGTTAAAATTAATTTAAAATACCTATTAATAAATAGAGTAAATTTTTCTTTTGCAAGTTGTTATGAATACATATATATAATTAAATATATTACCGTTTATGAGAATAAAATATTAATTCACTTATTTTATTATAAGGATGATAACTATGTTGAATACCCTGTTTTATAATATTATATTGAAAATGAGATATATGAAGAGTTTCATAGTATTTTAGATTTCTATAAAGACTATCTGAAAAAACATATTTGTAAATCTAAAAGTTATAATTAATCATACATATAATATATACTTTAAAAATTAATAAATAATAAATTTGAATATATATTACATTTAACGTAATATATTTACATATAATCATATATTTAATTTAATATTATAAACTTACAAGTGTTTTGTATAATAAATAACATATAATATATTAGAAATATATTTTGAAATTTCATATTTATTAGAATATTTCTTATTATATATACATATTAACTCTTTACACTCCGGGCCTTTTTAGCTCGGGCAAACCAACAACTCTAGACAATTTTTTGCACCCATGAATTTCTTAGCTAACTTAAAATGATTTCACACATAAATTAACGTATAAAACTTATATTTTAATATTTTATCTATCTTTACATATAAAGAAAGATAATTTATTGAATATTAAATTGTTGAATATTAAAAATCTATATTGTTGTGTGATATTTTAATAATAAAGTAATTACTAAAAAGCATCCTCAGTTTATCAGGCTAAATATCACAATAAAATATCGTTACAAATCTTATAATCCCAATAACGTGTTCTCATTTATTGTTTATTATTCTTATTTTTCATCTTCTTATACTATATCTCTATTTTTATCATTATTTTCCTTCTCTCTATTATCAATTTCTTAATGAATAGAAATAATTTCATTATTTAATAACGAAAAATTCATCTTGAACTAATATCCCAATAATTTGTTCTCGCATTCACAGTCTATTCTTATCTTATCTTTCACTTTCTCTTACAGCATCTCAATTTTCATTACTATTTTTTTTCTCTTTATCGTCAATTTCTTAATGAATAGAAATCATTTCGTTATTTAATAACAAAAAATCAAACTCATCTCGACTTGAACTAATTTCATTACGTTTCACGCTTACAAAACTCAAAAACTTTGAAAATAATATTTCTATTACCACGAATGTCAAACTTGGACTAATGCCAAAAATAATTCGACCTGAGATCACGCTCTTATTTCACATAAAAATCTAACCATTTAATAGTATATTATTCTATACTTTATAAGATTATATTTAAGGAGCTTAGGAATCTATTCATGAAGCGATATTTTAAAAAAAATTAAATATAAATAAATATTGCCGTTCGAACTGCTGGATCAATCCAAGTAGTGCCGGAGAGTCTGGAGTTATTGCATTACACTGAGTGGTGACTGAGAGTCACCGTTGGAGCGCAAAGGGTTAAATTTTGTTATTATATTTTAAGAACACTCGTTCACACATTATAAATACTTTATTTCTTATAACTTTATATCATATATTTTCAAAGCTAATATTCAATGTAAATAATTTTTTTTCTAATACGTGGAAATATTTGATTGTTTGATTTTAAAATATATTCAGTGGTGATCAACTATAATATTTGAAATATTATTTAATTTATTTTAAATATATTTTTTATAATTTCTTTTATATTTGACGATAATAATAACTACAATATAATTGTATAAACAAAAATAATAAATATTTTTAAAAAATTGTTTTTTAAATTTTTTAAATAATTTTTATAAATTTTAGTATTAACTCATGTCTTATTATTATATTGTTCATGATAATATGTCCATTACAATCGATTTAAACTTTTATTAAATGCTTTATTTAGAGGTTGAAATTCTCTAGAACATGCTAGAAGTTTTTCGGAACTGTAAAAACAGAAAGGTTATAGTCAGTACTACTATGTACTAATCATTTGTTAACGTTGTTATAACTTGTATGGTTGATACTTATAACCCCATATACGTGTATAAATAAAAATAAAAGAAAGTTAAAAATGTCGCAAGAAGCAACTTTATTGCACTGTTATAATCGTGGTTGTGGAAAAAAGTTTGATCCAAATGACAATAAAGAAGGTATGTTAAATATTTAGAGAATAAATTATATTAAAAAAGTTTAGAAATCTGATAATTTAAAAATTATTTATTTATTATTTCAATATATAGTTAAGAATCATATAGAAGATCTTTTAATAATAACAATTATTGTTGTTACTTTTCTAGGAGACTGTATTTATCATCCTGGGCATCCAATATTTCATGATGCTTATAAAGGCTGGTCTTGTTGTAATAAGAAATGTACAGATTTCACAGAATTTTTAAATATTAAAGGCTGTGCAAAATCATGTCATTCAAATATTAAACCAATAGAACCAGAAAAGTCTACTATTGATAAGTCAAAATCAAATGAAATAATTGAAGTAATTGCTCAACCTCTTATCAATGAACCTATTTTAGAAAGGCCTCCTTTTGATACTCCACAAATGACATTAACTCCCAATGTGTCACCTAATTTATTAGAACAAATTAAAGGATTAATTTCTAATGTTTCAAAAACTACATTTGACACTAAAGTTCAAATTGGGCAAAGTTGTAAAAATAATTCATGTAAAGCTACATATAATGGTCCTGCATCTGAAGATGAAATATGTAATCATCATCCTGGAACTCCTATTTTTCATGAAGGAATGAAATATTGGTCTTGTTGCCAAAAAAAAACTACAGATTTTTCTACATTTTTAGAACAACCAGGATGTACACAAGGAAAACATATTTGGATTTCTAAAGTAAGCTTTAAATGTTTATTGAATATTTTTTACTTATATTCAAT